ATTCATTACTAATGGACTCAGAGATAGGGTGTAGAAGTGTTAATTGTTTGTTTTCCAAGCAGATCATTCAAATTGTTTGGCTTCCCTTTATAGTCTAAAGTGCCAATTCCTTAGCACCTTACTTTTGCCAGAATTTTTAATTTCAGTATTTTCCTGATATTTATTTATTATTCTTAAAATCAGTTTTCTGCATGCTGCAGTTCTTTTTTATATGACAGAAATGAGGTAAATTGCTGAGGTGCTGAGGCTGAGGTATTTGCTCCTGCAAGGTCAGGAACGTCAGAGCAGTCAGGTAGAGCCTTTAGCCGCCACCTGCTGGTAGTTGGTGTTACAGCAGCTAATACCTGTTTTTTTTTTTTTTAATTATTTTATTTTATGTTTACTTTTAATTTTTGTGGGTACATAGGGGGTGTATATATTTATGAGGTACATGAGATATTTTGATACAGATATACAACGTGTAGTAATTACATCAGGGTAGATATCTATCACCTCCTCAAGCATTTATCCTTTTTTTTGCATTATAATCCAATAATATTCTTTTAGTTATTTTAAAATGTACAATAAGTTATTGTTGACTGTAGTCACCCTGTTTGTGTTATGAAATACTAGGTCTTATTTATTCTTTCTAACTATTTTTGTGCCCATTAACCATCTCCCCTACTTCCTCACTACCCTTCCTAGCCTCTGGTTAGCATCCTTCTACTCTCTCTCCATGAATTCAATTGTTTTAATTTTTAGCACCTACAAACAAGTAAGAACATTCAAAGTTTGTCTTTCTGTACCTGAATTTTTTCCCTTAACACAATGACCTCCAGTTCAATCCATGTTGTTGCAAACGACAAGATCTCATTCTTTTCTATGGCTGAATAGTACTCCATTGTGTATAGGTACCACATTTTCTTTATCCATTCATCTGTTGATGGACCCTTAGGTTGCTTCCAAATCTTGGCTATTGTGAATAGTGCTGCAACAAACATGGGAGTGCAGATACCTCCTTGATATATTGATTTCCTTTTTGGGGGGTATATACCTAGCAGTGGGATTGCTGGATCATATGGTATCTCTACTTTTAGTTTTTGTCCTTTGTTTTGTTTTGTTTTGTTTTTGAGGAACTTCCAAACTGTTCACCATAATATTTGCACTAATTTCCATTTCCACCAGCAGTATATGAGGTTTCTTTTTTCTATACTTCCTCGTCAGCATTTGTTATTGCCTGTGTTTTGGATAAAAGCCATTTTAACTGGGGTGAGTGACATCTCATTGTAGTTTTGATTTGCATTTCTCTGATGATCAATGAGATTGAGCACCTTTTCACATAGTTGTTTGCTGTTGATGTCTTCTTTTGTGAAATGTCTATTCAGATCTTTTGCCCATTTTTTGATTGTATTATTAGATTTTTTTTCCCCATAGAGTTGTTTGAGCTCTTTATGTATTCTGGTTATTAATCCCTTGTCAGATGGGTAGTTTGCAAATATTTTCTCCCATTATGCAGGTCATTTTTGTTGATTGTTCCCTTGGCGGTGCAGAAGCTTTTTAATGTGACGTAATCCCATTTGTCCATTTTTGCTTTGCATGCCTGTGCTTTTGGAGTATTATTCAAGATATCTTTGCCCAGTCCAGTGTCCTAGAGAGTTTTCTCAATGTTTCCTTTTGGTAGTTTCATGGTTTGAAGCCTTAGATTTAAGCCTTTAATCCATTTTTATTTAATTTTTGTATATGGCAAAAGATAGGAGTCTAGTTTCATTGCCTGCTTAAATTATCTAGCAAAGGAAAGGTGATAACATGTATATTTAGTGATGGTAAAATCTTATACAACCAAATTGATAGATCTCTAGAGGTAAGTTACAGGTTAATAATAAACATGTTTGTATGGAACAAGTTTAAAAAATTACCTGTGGCAACACCATCTATAGGTCACAGAAGTATATTCTGTCCCAGAGATGTAGGATCAATTCAACTGAGACTAAAAGCCAATTACTAATAATGTGTAGTTGCAACAGATGTGTATAAAAGGATTTATGCATAACCACTGGGAGAGTAGCCCATGAAATAACATCCTGTCTGCTTTCTCATCTGTAGCAGTGCCTCTGCTGCATGTGTGTGTAGTGGTGGTGTCTGCTGCTCTGTTTGTCCATACCGTCTGCATGTAGATAGAGTCCATCTGCTTCCAAGCTGTTGAAACTAGTGGGATAGTCATAGGTGTGATTTTCCAGGCAGATGGAGAGAATAAGCTTATAATCATGACACAACTTATTTTCTACATTTGAGCTCATAAGTTTATTGCATGCACATTTTCTTTCAGGATAGTTTTTAATATGGAAGAAACTTTGTTAGGTCCTTAGTATCCTAGAGAAACCCTGTTAATGTCTCCAACAATAAAGCTATGAGCAATTGCTCATTGTTCTTCTTGGGATTAAGATACCCTACTAATTTATGTTCTGATTACTATTCTCTTGACAACAGTAACAATAGCATCCATAAAAAGGTCGATGCTTATTTAAAACAGAGATGAAATTCTATTTGATTTCAAAATAAACTTTTTATTATAGGAATTTTCAGCCATTTGCCAAAATATAAACCCTTATGTACTTTTTACCCCACTTCAATAACCATCAGCATTTATAATTCACTTTAAATAAGTGTCTGTTACAATTCATGAGAAAGCATTACTTTTGTGAACCCATAATGTATTAGTCCATTTTCATGCTGCTGATAAAGCCATACCTGAGACTGAGCAATTTGCAAAAGAGGTTTATTGAACTTACAGTTCCACATAGCTGGGGAGGCCTCACAATCATGGCAAGGAGGAGCAAGTCACATCTTACATGGATGGCAGCAGGCAATAACAGAGCTTGTGCAGGGAAACTCTCATTTTTAAAACCATCAAAACTGGCGAGACCCATTCACTGTCACGAGAAGAGCATGGGAAAGACCCACCCCCATGATTCAATCATCTCCCACTGAGTCCTTCCTACAACACACGGGAATTATGGGAGCTACAAGATGAGATTTGGGTGGGGACACATAGCCAAACCATGTCACATATACTTTCATGACAGGGCAGGAAGAAGGAAGTATGTCATGGCTAGGGATTGTATTTTAAATCATTGTACACCCTGTGTGGAGAGCCACATCCTCATAATACGAGATTCTCATAAGAGAGGGAAATAAATTTCTAAAAATATGAGGAATACTTGGACATATAATGAGTAGTATAGCTGTTAACATTTCTTTTTCATTCCCAAATAAAATATTATCTTGTAGAAAAATGTACTGTATATATTCTGTAACAGGCATTTTTATTTAAACTATTACCTATAGCTTTGAGCCAGCAGAAACGTTTTTAAAACTGCTTTGTTATAAGTGTAGGTGTATGGTTCATGTTCTTCATCTCCAATTTCTGATGCCCACTCGGAGGTACTCTTCATTATCCTTTTCTGTTTTCTGAGTTTGAAAGTTAATATTTGTAACATTAGGGCCTTCCTAACTTAAGATGTTGAACTGGGTAGAATGTATTCAACATGGAAAAAGTAGTTAATCCTAATCACATCAGATAGTAAGAGCCACTTTTGAAATATGTGTCCTGGATATATTATATAAGATCAACCTGAGATTCTTCTTCCGTAGTCATTCTCATGTGAACCTCTCAAATCAAGTCTGTCAAGCTGATGTTGTCAGAATCCTGTTTAAAGAGTTGGACTCCAACCCATTTGTTCAAAACTGAAACTTCTGATTGCACTTCCTTTATTTCATTATCTCAAATTTTAAATACTACTTAAAACTCTTCTTCTGACTGTTTCTACCTTAGAAAGAAAATTCTGACTTTTTTCTGTTTCACTTCTCCTTACTGGACCTAAACTGTGATTTTGGTATTTTGCCTGTAATGGGCTCTGCAGCTATTTGGAGCATTACCATGCATATTTGATTACAAAAATTATTTCCCCTTCATTCCTGAGGGTTCATTGAGAAAGCTTCCTTATTTTTTTTTTCCTATGAAAGTGATTTGGCTTTTGGAACCTTCCTCACAAAGATTTGAAAGTTTATACTAAAATGCAATTTTTCGAAATGTGGACTTTGTGCGATGAGGATGCTTTTCTGATATGGCTTTTCTTTCTGACCCAGGTCACTTCCATCCTCTGACCCAGATGTTCTATGTAAATCAAAAAGTGAGCAAGGCAGGTCTCAGTCATGGAGAGGCTTATTTAGCCAAGGTTAAGGATGCACCCGGAAAAAGAGACATGAGTCAAAGGAGGATCTGTAACCGGTGCTTTTTCTGAAGAGAGTTTTGAGAACTTCAGTATTTAAAGGGGAAATAGCAAGCAAGAAGGGAATAAATTTTTAAAAGGAAGGTGGGTAGGCAATGAGGCAAGTGTCACATTCTTGTGAGGCTCTGATTAGTGCTCAGTGAATCTACATTTCACATATAAAAAGGGGGAGTGGGCACACAGTCACTCATGCCTTCATCTCACGCTCTGTAGTTCTGCATGTTACATAAGATGAAGGAAGCATGTGAAATTACAGCTCTGTGTTTGGGAATGAAAGGAAGGTTGTTTTTGTGTGACTCTGTTCCCAAGCTTAGCTTTCCTTTGGCATGGTGAGTTTAAGGTCTCGAGATTCAATTATATTTCTTTTATTCCCTTAAGGCCTCATTTGTTGCTTCCAGCCAATAAAAATGGAAATAGCTTGTGGAGAGGACCACCTACACCTTAAAAGCCGTGTTTTTGGAATAGTATATGTCACTTCCATTCCAATCCCATTTGCCACACCTGATAGCAAGGAAAGCTAAGGAGTGTAGAATTGTTGGGAGCTCAGGAGAAGAGAAGTCAGAGTGTTGATGAATACATGGCAGACTCTGCTGTACCTAAATCCTGGGAGTGCAAAGAATGTTCCAAATCTGAATAGCCTCCGCAGAGGAGAGATTAGAAATAGGCTTGAGTTTGACTCCTGGCGGAGGCCCATGGAGATGCAGACGTGACCTGTTGGATTCTGCCCTGCAGATCATACCTGGAGCTGATGCTGATGCAGCTGTTGGAACCTTGGTGTCAGCAGCTGAGGGGGCCCCAGGAGAGGAAGCAGAGGCAGAGAAGGCCACTCTCCCTGCCGGGGAAGGAGTAAGTTTAGAGGAGGCCAAAATTGGAACTGAAACCGAGGGTGCAGAGAGTGCCCAAGCTGAAGCAGAGGAGCTGGCAGCAACAGTGCCTCAGGTGAGTGTCCCATGTCGCAGCCAGGGGAGCTCCTGGGAGGTAGCGTGGGCTGGGTGCTCTGTTGGTTGGTCCATGGTGATAACTCTTTGGATGTAAAATAGGTTTGTAGCAATTTTGTGACTCCACCAAACAACATTATTATCAGATTCTCAGAAAGAGTAATCCCAGCTGCTCAGTATCAGCATCGCAATGTTGCGTGGCTGACTGGGCCTAAGCATGGAAAGGGGAAGGGGGAGCTCTGGGGTGACGTGGAGAAAGGAATGAAGCAGGACAGTGAAAAAGATGAGAATGGAGCTGGGAGAAAGAGAATGTGATGAAGTGAGCACTTAGCCCAGGGAGAACTCAATAGTATTTAGATCTTATTATTCTTATTACTGTTTGGTGGTTATTATCATCATCAGAGTGTCCCAAATTCACCATCAGGCCCCTTTCACCAAGAGCCCACCACTGTGTGGTACTTTGAGAAGGGAAACAAAGGGACCTGGGCCATTAGGTCTGTGCATGAGGCTGGAGCGGGCCCTGCTCGGCACTGCCTCAGAGCAGCATTGAGAGGCCACAAAGCCACATACTCTACCGCTGCAGGAGCCTCCAACCCCAGGGCCTGCCTCCACTGTCTGGTTCTTCTGTATTCTAGAAGGCAATGTTAAGAGGGGCCTTAATGGTATGTATTGTTTTCTCCTGATGATTTTACTCCCAATAAATTTTCAAAAATTTCTCCAGGGTTGCTTAAAACTTGAAACTGAATTATCCCTTTCATTATCCCTTTTTGGGCTGGGGGCTGAGGCAGATAGCAGTGTTGTGGGAGAAGGAACTTAAAAGAATATTCCTTTTTCCCCTTAGATTTTCTCATCACAGCTCCCAGAGTGTTTTTGCGTATATTGTTGTACTCATGGAAAGACGGTATTATCTCTCTAAGTTGACGAATGTTACTGCTCTAGTCCGCTGATAGCAGAGGGAATATAGAAAGACTCCTGTTTTGCTGATGAAACTCCCCTCCATGCTCATCTTTGTTAAACAAATGAAAGCGTGGTCCTAATCCTTTGGTTCAGACACTAGAGTACCTGGAGTGGATTGTGGGAGGTGTGGTCCCTGCAGCAGCCACAGCAGTGGGGGGCTGGAATCACAAGCGAAGGACTGGTGGATGATCTCCAAACCCCGGCTGGATCTTCACCAGCAAGCATGGTTCAGGCACTGGGGGCCTCCTGGGACTGGGGGAGGGGAGGAAGGGGCTCATAGGAGGTGAACTGCCAGCGGCAAGAGTTAGGGCTCCATGGGACAAGAACCAGGCCGGCCTGTGGGGCCGGGTGCGGCAGCTCACGCCTGTAATCCCAGCACTTTGGGAGGCCGAAGCGGGCGGATCCCGAGGTCAGGAGATCGAGACCATCCTGGTTCACATGGTGAAACCCCGCCTCTACTAAAAATACAAAAAATTAGCCGGGCGTGGTGGCGGGCACCTGTAGTCCCAGCTACTCGGGAGGCTGAGGCAGGAGAATGGCGTGAACCCGGGAGGGAGACTTTGCAGTGAGCTGAGATTGCACCACTGCACTTCAGCCTGGGCGACAGAGCGAGACTCCGTCTCAAAAAAAAAAAGAACCAGGCCGGCCTGCACTGACTCCTGCAATCCCTCTCAGGATGGTTTCCCTCACCCTTCAAGACTCAGTCTCCCATCCCCTATGCCTCCTCCCAATTTCCACGGAAACCTCATGCTTACCAAACTGCCTGGCTATTCAAGGATCCAGAAGTTAATTCCACTAAGGGTTTAGGCCTCAGGAGGAACAGAAGGAGGCTGTGTGGCACAGCAGAAGACCCGGAGCCTGACTCTGGCTGATGGGGAATTATGGAAGTGGCAGCCCCAGCTTTGGGCTGGGGGCTGAGGCAGGTTGTGCAGGACAAGGAGGTTCTGTTTTCCAGGCCCTGCTGGGCACTGCCACGGGTTTTCTTCCCCCAGGAGAAGGTCATCCCTTCAGTGGTCATAGAGCCTGCCTCCAACCATGAAGAGGAGGGAGAACACGAAATAACTATAGGTGCAGAGCCCGAGGAGACCACCGAGGACACGGCTCCTCTGGGCCCCACCAGTGAGACGCCAGAGCTGGCTACGGAGCCGAAGCCCCTGCAGGACCCTCAGCCAATGCCTTCTGCACCAGCCTTGGGGACTGCTGACCAGCTAGCATCTGTAAGGGAGGCCTCTCAGGAATTGCCTCCTGGCTTTCTCTACAAGGTATTCTTATTTTTTAACTCTCATTTGTCCTTTTTTTGCTTTGAGTCCCTTTTGCTTAAGCCTTTGGTTTTCCAGTGTTTACTTTTACTTTTTGCAATTATTATTTCTCTGAACTGCTTTCCCTTCACCACAACATCACTTGGACAAGCCAGGTCGACAGTAATAGATTTTCATATTTTAACAAAGAATAACTAAAGGGAAGCTCACCACAGGGCAAACAGTATGCCCCTGGGTAATGAATGAGAGAGTCTCTTCCAGCCCTCCCTCCTCTCTACTCCCCCCGGGTGCCTGTGAATCTGTGGAGCCTGGCTCAGACCAGGCCTTCGAATCACCAAGAGCTCCTGACTGGGCTATACCCGCTGGGGGTCAGGCAGCAATCCTTCAGTCAACTCTGGCACTTTGTAGGGTGCATGACACAGAGTAGGAAGCCCATAAATATTTTGTAAATTAGTGGATACATATATGAATAAACTTGCACCAAAAGGCAGAAAAAAAAGGTGTCTAAGTTAATGGGAGGAAGGTTTTGCTCAGACAGGCTGCTTAGAGCCTTCATAAACCAAAGCGTTCTTACCGAAAAACTTAGTAAATACCTGAAAACACTGGCCTAACCCAAGTGTTTCCTGTCTCAGATGTTTCCTAATAGAATCTGAAAAGGAATTTTAAGTTTTTAAATTTGATTTTACATTTCAAAATTCAGCTCTTTTTCTTCTAAAGCGTAAAATGTCATATCATTCTCTCTCTGTCTCTCTCTCTCTGTGTGTGTGTGTGTGTGTGTGTGTGTGTGTGTGTGTGTGTGTGTGTCTTTATCTCTCTCCACTAGAAAGTAACTACTACCTTGCTACCTCTTGTGGGGACAGGGTCAGCTATAATGGATTTATGAATGATTAATTTAGAGAAAAAATTAAACCTGTAGATGGGGGGTTGTTTCTTGCCAGGTTCTGTTTTAATTGGAGCACAAGGAGTCTAAGAAGCCTTGTGCCAAGCATGGCCAGAGCTTGCTGGGCCCATTCTGGCCTCCTCACTAACTGTAGAGTAAGCTAAGGCACCCCTATAGATCCTCTCTCTGGGTATCAGTTCTCCCATCAGAGAAATTAATTTAGGGATAACATAATCCATTTCCAACTCTGACAATTTATGATTCTATGAATATGCCCAATGGCAAAATATACACTTTAAAAGCCGATGTTTACTCTCAGGGGTGGAGTTGAGGGAAAGGTGGAAAAATAAAATCAGCCATGATGGTAGAGTGACTCAGACTGGGTGACGGATGCATGGAGGTTCATTACGTTATTTCTTCTGCTTTAAAATATTTTCCTATAATAACATTTTAAGGAAATCTTTTTCAAAATGGGAAAGGAAAAGAAACTGGTTGCCATTGTATATAAGGTAGGATAGGGAAGAAAGGAAATATATTTACACGGAAATTGATCACAGAGTTTTATTTCGTAGTAATTACTGTATAACCTACAAGTGGTGGTTTTCCTGATTATCATTTGACAGAAGCTGGGGTTAGAGGAGCTTTAGACATTTTTGGTTCCAGTTAAACAACAAACAGTAATAAAGCATCAGTGATAATAAAATGCAAATCTCTAACAAAAATAAGATGAAATAAAATTTGATTAATATAGTACTTTTCCCTGTTGTAGAGGGCATTGCATTACTATTAATAAATATACATATGAATGGCCTCATATCAGAGAATAGGACTTCTCTTCTGGCTTTAGAGGCCTTCTTCTTCCTTGGCATATGGCAAATATCTTCATCTTTTCATCCAGCTTGGAGAGTGCTTGTAAGAGTGTCTGCTTATAATCTGGCTGGGAAATTGATTTTTATATATTCTTCTTATCTTCTGCAGGTGGAAACACTGCATGATTTTGAGGCAGCAAATTCTGATGAACTTACCTTACAAAGGGGTGACGTGGTGCTGGTGGTCCCCTCAGATTCAGAAGCTGATCAGGTAAAAGATAAAGATTGGAAGATGCTTTGTGCTACATTGATTTTTTCTGAGGACACAATCACTTCCTAAAGATGTTTCTATTTTCTGAGATGCTACAAGCCATCTAAAAAGGGCTTAAGGGCTTGTGACAGCCTAGATCATTAACCAGGTTTCTAGGACACCCTTTTGGGATGCTGTTGCATTTTTTTTTTAATGTAATACAAACAGTTGACCATTTCTTAATCATGTAACCACTTTCTAGGAATGTTGTCTCTGTAACACCTGTCTTCAGGAAATGCAGACACTATGAATGTGAACTAAAAGACCCCTTCAAAAGTGGTTGCCTCTGGGTGTGTGGATATTGATTAGGAAAGAACCTGGGGAACACTCTGGAGTGATGGAAATGCTTTGTATCTTGAGAGGGATATCTGCATGTATTTGTCCAAACTCATTGAGCTATATACCTAACCATCTCTGCATTATACAGTATTTAAGTTATACCTCAATTTAAAGAGATTCTTTAAAAATATCACCTCCTAAAAGAGTCATCTGATGTAAGGTACTGAGAACTCCATCTTGTTCTCATTCATAAAGTGTGTGAACCCTTGAAATGGTATGCAACACAAGTAAATGTATCTGCAAACATATTTTTCTGGAGAGAAAAGCTCTAACTTCCATACTATTCTCAAAGAGATTCATGAGCTCTCCCCTTAAAAAAATAAAGTCAAGCATCACTGCCTTTGAGGTTAAGACTTAACATGTTCAACATTTTGTTCTTTCTTTTGACAATACACTTACCAAGATACATCAGGTGTTGGGTCAAACAGTCTCTACCACAATAAAATTAGATTTGAAATTTATGTAACAATAATCTGCTGAGCAGGATGGCTCATGCCTGTAATCCCAGGACTTTGGAAGGCCAAGGCAGGAGGATCACTTGAGGCCAGGAGTTCCAGACCAGTCTGGTCAACATAGCAAGACCTCATCTCTACAAAATTTTTTTTTTTTACTCAAAAAGCTGACATTGGAGGATCGCTTCAGCCCAGGAATTCAAGGCTGCAGTGAGCCATGATCACGCCACTGCACTCCGGCCTGGGCAACAGAGCAAGACCCTGTCTCAAAAAAAACCTTAATAACAATAATGTATCTTTAAAAGCCCCCAAAGATTTAAAAAATGTTAAAATACACTTCTAAATAACCCCTGGGTCAAAGAAATCATAGTGTGAGTTAAAAATATTTCATAATGATCATTAAATAGAAATTAAGTAGAAAATGTATAGAAGGAAGGAAATAATAAAAATAAATTCACAAATGAATGCAATAAAGGACATAACAGATAACATTGATGAAGCCAAAAGTAGGTTGTTGAGAGGATTAACAAAATTGTTAAAACCTTAGAAAGACTCAAGAAAGAAAAGTCACAAAGCATAAATTACCAATATCAAGAAAAAGTGTCAGCATCACACATCTCAAAGATATTAAAAGTCCCATTTATAATGGGATTTTTGTCTGTATTAACCAGAAGTTATTTTGTAAAGAAATAAAAGGAAAAAAAGGTAGTCTTTTATATTTGCCATCATGTTTATCATTTCCACGTCTTCATTCTTTCCTATAAGTCCGAGTTTCCATCTGGTCTTAATTTCCTTTCTCCTTAAAGAACTTTCTTTAGCTATTCCTGCAGTGCTAATGTGCTGGCTGCAAATCTTCTTGGCTTCTGTTTATCTGAAAATGTCTTTATTCTTCTTAATTTTTAATGATACTTTCACTAAGAAAGAAATCTGAGTTGATTTTTTTTTTCTTTCAACTCTTTAAACATGTGTCATTGTTTTCTGGTCCCTATTGTTTATAATTAGAAATCAACTGTCATTTGTTTAATATTGCTTCTCTGTATGCAAAGTGACTTTCCCTGACTACTTTTAATAAATTTCTCTGTATCTTTCATTTTCATCAGTTTGAATATATTGTGTTTGGGTAGGGTTTTTTTGGTTTTTTTTATGGTCTTCATACTTGAAAATCACTGAGCTCCTTAAACTTGTAACCTAATGTTTTTCACCGTATTTGCTTTTTATCTTTAATTTTTTTTCCTGACTAATTCTCTTTGTTCTTTTTCTCTGGGTATCTAATTATACTTATGTTGGACTTCTTGAGGGCTAAGATGCTGTTCTTTTTCTTTCACTATTTCTCTCTGGTAGTCAGGTTGGATAATTTCTATTGATCTGTCTTCAAGTACTGTGACTGTTTCTTCTTCTACTTTGAGTTTGTAGTTAAGTTTATCCAGTGACTTTTTCATCTCAGATATTAGAGTCTTAGAATTCTTCATTTCCATATTGTTCTTTCATATGGTTTCCATTTCTTGGCTGAGATTTCCCACTTATATTCTTTCATTATCACTGTCTCTCAGTTTATATACTTGAACAAATTTATAATAGCTGCCTTAAATTTCTTACTGCTAATTCCAACAGCTGGGCCATCTCAGGGCATATTTCTATTGTTTGCTTTTTAATCTTTGGGTCATAGTTTCCTGTTTTTTTCCATGTCTAGTAATTTTTTAATTGATACTAGACATAGTAGGCAGACCATACATGGTAAAGAGTCTGACTCTGTTTTCTATATCTGAAAATTCCTTATTTTTGTTTTAGTAGACATATAAATTACTGAATAATTCCCTTGAATTGATGGGAGTTGGTTTTATACTTTGTTAGGGTGGGTCTGTACCCTTTATGCATGCACAGCTTGGGGGTCAGCCCAGGACTTCAAGGCAATTTATCCACATATATTAGGATACCCATCCCCCAGTGGCTCCTTTCTTTTCAAGATAATACCCCCTGAGTGTACAGCTTCTCTGACAGCCTTACACTCTATGATCTGAATGCCCCACATCACACTGAGTGAGGATAATCCTCCAGGGAAAAGCTGTATCAGTATAGATCTCACCCCGTGCAGTTCTCTACTTTCAAGGGTCAAATACCCTGTAATTTCTGCCTGCTTTTGGTCATTTCCAGCATCTTCAAATAGTTGTACCCATTATTTATACCCATCCCATTATGTATAAATGTATACTTTATATGTTATATAACCAAGAGTTGTTTTTATGTATAAATAGTTGCATATATGTATATATAGATATTTATAGATATATAGTTATTGCAGTGTTTTTAATTATTCTCTCCAGAAGGATTTGTCTAATACAAGCTATTCTGCCATTACCAAAACTGGAAATCTTTTTCTACCACATATTTTAAGCAGTTAATATTTAATTTTTTATATTTTCCTCAGCTAAAGATTGATGTTGGCTATTATTCTCTACAAGTTGTCTTTCAGAATATATGTGTTGGAATATATCTTGATTGTGGGTTTGTGTAGTCCTTTACTTGTTTTCTTTATTGAAACAATTTTTAAGTGCTTAACTCTACTTGGCTCCATTAGATTTTTCACTCACTGTAAATAAAGTCAAATATAGACACTTGTGGGGGAAAAATGACCTTTTATATGCTTTCTAGAGGTTCAGAAAATATTTAGCTATCATCTTTTATTTTAAGTATAGCTTTGTCCTTCCCATATATGACATCATAATTTTAAAGAGGGCACTTTTCCTCATCAGCTAGGATATTATCAGTTATTTTATTGAGTCATTTTTTTCTCCAGTGGTTTTTTTCCTGCCTTCAAAAATTGGGCTGTCTAAATACTGATATTTCTTGTCTATATGGCAGCATCAATTTATAGTCTCAGATTATATCAAAAGCAAATGAATTCAGCTTCTTCATTTAATTTTTGAGGTCTAATTTTATCTGATGTACTTGAACTATGTTGGGGGTTGGTTCAGACTAACCCTGGCCATCCCTCATCTGAAGTGGAATTTCCTTTCTGCACTGGTTAACATAATAAGGATAGTCATTTCCCACTCCTTGAACTTCCTATGGTCTCGTTTCCTGCTGTTTCTTTCAACACAGCTTTTCCAGCTAGACTCTGCTAGGAAGCCAAGGGCAGACCACAGCCTCTGTTTCTCAGTTTTAAGTATCGTCTCCCATTCTGCATGACCATACGTGGATGGGTTCTCTACCCTTTCTGGGGCAAAATGTTCCATTTTTGTGATGGCACTTCTATAGGACAGACAAATGTCTATGAGAAATAATTTATAAAGGATATAGGAGTGCTTCCAGCAAGAATACCATGACATCCAACTGATTTGTAGTTTATATAAACTTGAAAAATTAGGTATTATAAAAACCAAAATAGTAATATCAGGCAATACACATCTAGCTTTTAGTATTTGATAAGCCCTACATAGGTAGTTTATTGGGGTTATAGGATATGAGCTGGGGGTCAGAGTTATTTCTTATAACAAGTGGCTTGGGATGAAATATAAGACATTCCATGGTCTCATCAGTACTCCATTCTAACCCAAGGAACCTAAAACCTTTTTTACACTGTGACCCCAGAACAGGTCATGCTCTTGTGCATGAAATGCTTTCACGTGGTATTCCTGTCTTTGCACTGGTTGTAATTGTAATCCTTTTCTCCTCTTTAAGAACTCATATTATAATCCAGTTAATGTCAATTAACTATGCTTTGTACAGTCATAATGTTAATATTAATTGTCAATTAACTATACTTTGTACAGTCAACAAGTCATTGAAAACGTTTATTCCTTCTTTTTCTTTTTCTTTTTTCTTTTTTGTTTTTTAACTAACAACTTATTTGGGATAGGCCTTCCCATTGATCATGGCACAGCACTTTACCTGTAGTGTGATATCCTGGTGCAGAACCCCAACACTAATGTAACACATTATTTATTAATTGTGGCAGTGTGGATTTTCCAGTAGTTTGCTGGACCCTGAAAGTCCTGTCATTGTGTTTCAGGATGCAGGCTGGCTGGTGGGAGTGAAGGAATCAGACTGGCTTCAGTACAGAGACCTTGCCACCTACAAAGGCCTTTTTCCGGAGAACTTCACCCGACGCTTGGATTAGGGCAACAAGTATTGCAAGAAAGAGCTCAGTTACTGGGTTTTTAAACCTTCATGAAAACCTGAAGAGTTCACTTTTGCTATTATGCTCTTAATGATTTACAGACTGATGCCAGACGAACCTTGGGAAGATGTATCAATGGAGTATGTGTGCAAAAAAAAACGTAAGAGAAAGAAAAGTAAATTAAGGAAAAAATCCTCACTCGTTCCCATGTTGTCAATAACAGGTTTGTTTGTGCTTTGTCCAAACAGTGGACTCTTGTACTTGATCCCCTCCCACCAATTCTAAAATAGCTTTCTCCAGATCAGACTTTTATTTCTCTGCATCAGGTGTATGGTATTGAGTGGCTGCCCTGCAGAAGATGTGATGAATTATCCTGTGGTACAAGATTATCTTATTCCCCTGACCAGGTGTGAGCACGTGCTCTCGCTCCCTTTCAGGTTTACTGTGTTTAAAACTAAACTGCTGCAAAAGTTCTCAATGTTATTTTCCAACACATCTATATGTATATATATATGGACACACAGTCACGCAAGCTAGTTCCCATGACTCCTGGATCTATGTGTATGCAGAAGGCTACATATACATAGTTGCTTTCTTTCCTTTCCATTGTAACTCTTTGCCTCTCAAGTGTCATTGATACATGCATTGCTCTTATGCTGACTGGCATTACAGTCGCAGTTTTGCCTCATGGCAAAACCAGCCATCCCATTGCCAAAACAGTCAACAGTATCTGTGTTTGTACTGTGCAGTTTTCAGGATGAGATGACAGATAGCATGACCACACTGAGGCCCCCTCAGAGAAAGCAGGGCCTGATTTATCTAGCTGTCCAGTCGCTGTGGCTGGAGGTAGGCTAGTTGGGATGGGCAGCTAAGTAGTCTTCTCTTCTGCCTTTATGAGATTGGGTAGAAAGATGGGGCATATTCATCCACCCCCAAAAGAACACTATAAAAACAGCTCCTCTATATTTCCACCTCTTTCTATTTATGCAACTCATCTTCACAGATTGTTCTAAAGTAAAATAGATGGTGTATGCTGTATCCACAAATCATCTGTAACAATTATGTTTTCAGTGCTGTGTCATTCCAAATAAACCTTTGGTAATCTCCAACGATTACCCTAATTCCTTTTGATGAGTCTTTTTTTTTTTTTTTTTTTGAAATTTTGTTTTGTTCCAGTCGGATACTCTGCTTGAAACAGTTGATATTGGAGTTGTTATTTGTGCAGAAATATGCTTGTTCTTCCATTAGGATGCACTCCACGCCCCCACCTCACCTCCCCACTTCCTTCATTCCAGTCATTGCTGGTCACTCGGTGTTCCCTGACATCCAGCAATTACTGCAGCACCAATAACAGCTGCCAATGGAGAGCCCTTAAAGGTGCCGGCTGTGGACTCCCAGTACGTGAATCAATGATAATCTTACGACCTTCATAATCAGCAATTTCTTCTCACACCAGCTTCATTTTCTGGTCACTTTTCTTTCTGGCATGTTTATGTTCGTAGGTACATAAAAATTATATCAGATGGAATAGGAAAGTGAATTCACTTGGCCATTATTTCCAGAAGAGAATTCTTAACCCAGAAGCCTTTTAGTTAATTTGGACTCTTTTCTGCTAATGTAATTCTTTATACAACATAGGCTGATCAAGAATGTATATTATTAGACTTTTAGATTTGGTGTGTATTCCTGATTCACGGTTTGAATCTTCCTGGCGTATTACTGACTTTGTTGTGTTAAGTGTGAATAGGGAAATAACTGTTATTGAGCCAAGATTTTTCCAGGGGCTAATTTACAGAGAGGCTGGGTCATCATGAATGCTATTCTAGTGCAAGAAAAGCAAATGTCACTGCCCAGGAGCATGACTGATAATTCAGCAAGTGGAAGACAGCAATGTAAGATTCATAATAGAAAGCCACTCCTGACATTAGAGTGCACACAGGATGTAAAAAGCCAAGACTGAAAAATTAGCTCTAATAAAAAAATGCACCTAATGTTCTGCAAAGATAATTGCCTTGCCACATCTCCTGGAGCAGAAGATGTGATGAATTGTTCTTAAATTCCTTTCACCTTCCTGCCCACAGTGGCTGCTCACAGTGTACTGTTGGCCAGGACATGGCCCAGATAACGGTAGCCCTAGATGAATGTTCCTGGATGAATGTAACAAGTTCTTCTGAAATGACGTGGTTTTAATTAGCTATTTAGTCCTGTTTTTTAAAATGCCTTTGGATTTTTTTACACTAAATAAGAGTCATCAGATTTTTGTTTGTTTGTTTGTTTGTTTCAGGAATTGCCAAAATCCAAGAATTCCTAATGCATTGAAAACAAAGGAGATGGAGGGGATGGGTGTGGGCTGGTGGCATTCCCCAGAAATGTCCTTGAATGTGGAGTGAACATTGTTTTCCATTTCAGTGCATTTTCTAAGGTATGTTAGTTTCAAGGACTTTCTGGGGTTACTATTGTGAAGTTCTTCCCACTTCCCTTTCTTAGTTATTCTGTTCAAGTTCTCACGCCACCAACCCATCCTAGGCACATCACCCAGTCATATAATGGTGAGTTTGTAGCTCATTGATCCCAAATGGCGTTGAACCAGGCCTTGGTCCTTTCTGAGCTTCCTCTCCAGGATTTAAGATTCCTCTTAGAAACCCAATGGCACGTAGACCTTCAAATAGTTATGAGTCAGAACTGTTTGGAAAGAAAGCCAGTAGTTCTTATCACACATACACCTACCTGGCATTCCTACCAATATGACAGTCACTCATTTAAACCTGTGTGATGTATATAATTGCAAAGTAAAGTTGCCTGGCAATTTGAATTTTTTTTTTCTTTTTGAGATAGAGTCTCGCTCTGTCACCAGACTGGAGTGCAGTAGAATGATCTTGGCTTACTGCAACCTCTGCCTTCTGGGTTCAAGCAATTCTCCTGCCTCAGCCTCCCAAATAGCTGGGACTACAGGCACGTGCCACCATGCCCAGCTAATTTTTGTATTTTTAGTAGAGACGGGGCTTCACCATGTTGGCCAGGATGGTCTCAGTCTCTTGACCTTGTGATCACCCTCCCAAAGTGCTGGGATTACAGGTGTGAGCCACCGCGCCCTGCCGGCAATTTGAATTTTTAACACTATCGCAGAGTAGCCAGGGCGCCTGGGACAGGTAAAGGTTCCTGTACCATGCTGTCACATTGCTTCCACCATGCCTGCTCTTCCTGACAAAGCTGGGGCAGCTTTGGAGTCAGCCAGAAAACCATATCCATCACATCTTAGGCTACCCAGTGACGTGTGCACATTTAGAATTCTGAGCCCTCTTTTCTCACATAAGCCTCTAATCAGGCCATTGGAACAATCCCGGCATGACCTCATGGCCCATTCAGATGGCCCATTAAAGAAAATGCCTTCGGGAAACTACAAAAGTTATGAGAAATCAATGAGTTTAAAGATGGCGGAAGCTCAGTGCTTTATTCCACACAAATTGCCAAATTGCACGGCTGAACACCTTGAAGCCTTAGAAATAGACCGGCCAATGGATTGGCCTTGCAAGGACTCTACTCCTCTTTTCAAAGGAGCCCAACTAACAGCTGCCTTCGGATTTTTACTTGGAACTCAACTAAAAACCTTATAAACGTGTCAGAACTTGGAGATGAGCAGATCGCACAGCTTGTCTATACAGTGCTGTAGCTACTGTCTTCCTGGGGTGACTTCTTCCTAGGACTTCAGTAAGTGGAATCAGACATTTGGCAACCGCACAGAGAAGACAATGATCAAAATTCTCTTGGAAGACTTAGAAAATGGAGATCCAGGTGGTTCTGTTCATTTGTGAGCCCCGCAGGTGCATCCCTGTTTGATGATGATCCTGTCCTGAATCACCAACAGGAGACCACCTGGCTGTTCACGGGCAGTGTTCTTCAAGGCACACAGCAGGGGGTTGATAAATTGTTCATAAAGCCAAATAAACTATGCTCAAATAAGCGTAATATTCCATCCAAATATTTTGTGACTCATTGGTAATACCTTTTAAGGACCACTTAACAAACAGCAGCAAATAGTGACTTTTTTCACTTAAAAGGTATTTGAGACACAACCCTTACATCTATGCAAATTGAGAGGAAGGCCAGGTAGGTACCTTGAAGCTCTATCCAAAGGAATCTAAATTTTATCTCTGTTTCCTAAAATCCAGTTAATTCCCAGTCCCCCCTGATCTCAAGTCAAACACTCAGGTTGTCTGATTGAGGGTTGGGTCAGAATTACATGCTCATTTCCCTCCCTGCCGCACCCTACATAGGGTGCATCTGTAGTTAACACTCCAGAAACTCTTCCTGCTGCATTCTGATGCCCTGTAAGACCAGCCCAGCCCAGGAGCACCTTGTCCATAAGCACCCTGCCACATGGCTGATATCCTATACCCTCTCCCACCAGTAAATATTAAACTCTGTGTCATTATGCTCTGCTCTCCAAAAACTTACCAGTGATCACAAAGTTCTGTCTGTGGCATTTGGAGATGCCACCAGACTTCCAGTTCTCCCCCAAGATTCCAAGATAAGAACTTTCCTTGTTTTCTTACCTCTCTGGTTGTTCCTTCTCTGTTATGTTCCTAATTTTTTTTCCTTCTTCCTGTGGGTGCTGGAAGTGGGGTGGGGCAATAGCGATCTGTCCTTCAATTTGTGTTCTAGTTGTCCAAGGAATGTTGCCTTTGGAGTGTCCAATTATTGCTTCCAAGTACACATGTTCATTTGTTCATTAAAATATATCAAGCACCAGCTAAGTGTCAGTTACCGTACATGGGGACCGCATTCATAAGACTTAGACATTGCGCTCAAGGGACTTCCTTCCAAACTGCTGTATGATGCATCACCAAGGGGCTTCTCCATTCTTCAGAATATTGGGCCTGAAGACTTGGGAGCTTCCTTTGTGCATCATTTTCCAGATTTGGGGCACCTGCTATGATTTCCCCTCAAAACATACAACCTTGCACTTTAATCTATTTGGGGTTCTATTCTTCATACTGCCAGAGAAGACAAATTGGATCCTTGTTGTTTCCCTTGTCACTTGAATTCCTGTCTTCCTCGTACCCTACTGCCCACCCATTTTAAGTACCTAACAGGTCCCCACTCCCTCCTCACCTCTCCCTCTCAGAAACACACACACAAACGATGAATATCTACTGCATGTCATACCAGATCCAGGAGCCTCTGCTTGGTCTTCAGAACTGAACTTCATCTCTTCCCCAGTATTCACCCACTGCCTGCTTCAGAGGTGTCCCCTCAGCACCCCACCCACCTTCTCCCCCTCAGCTATACACCTTTCTTGCCATGTTGCAATCCCCCTCCTGGGATGCCTTCCCAGCTCCTGTTGGCTTCTAATCCCATTCCCCAGGCATAGTTCAAGTCCTGTATCTTCAAAATCCCCCTGTCCTCTCACCCTTCTACATTCTTTCCACATTTAGAGTAAATACGATATTCCCTAGCCCTTCATTTTCCACACCAACTGGCACAGTGTCTCCAACCTTCTCTGCATGCTGTATTCACTCCTGGATCTTGTACACTCGTTTGCTGAGTCAATGAACAAGAGGCTGATTGAACAATTAGTTCAGGGAAGTCTAGAAACCCTCATCCCAGGATCAGCATGGAATAAAATTTGAAACTGACTATGAGAAGAAAATGCAAACTACTTCTGTGATATTGGAGAGGGGAAAGTTTTCTTAAACAGCACTCCAAAACATCCAAAGTGTATGGCAAAAAAAAGAGTTTGACTCCAAAATTCCGAATTTATATTTAATGAAAAGATATTTGAGATAGTTAGTTACTTGGTAGACAGATGATAGACTTGCCTAAGATATTTGCACCATCCCAAATTCACAAAGGATAAATGTCTAAAATATACAAGGAACTCATTCAAGAAGAAATGAATAATTATTATTATTATAATTTGTTTATATCATATTTATTTATAGTTATGGCAATAGTTAATATAATAACAACATTCATCTACTGTCTGTCATTTGCCAGGCACTGTATGTATTATTTTATTTAATCTTTACAAATCTATGAGGTGTTGCTGTTTTTCCTTATTACAGGCAAGGAAGCTAAGATAGAGTTACATGAGGAAGCTTGTTCATAGTCACACAGTCAATAAA